AGTCTCGACGCATGTGTTGTCAGATGGTTTATGGATGCTCGTTGATGTCCCAATGGCAACAGCATTGGAGCTGTGTCGAATACTTTTTCATTTGCCTCATATTGCAATTTACTGCAATAGCATTTTAAGATGTCATCTTTGGTGATGCGGCTGTGAGACACCCAAGTTTGTTTCGTCTTCGTTTTTTTCTTGTTTTTGAAAGTCTTTCCACCTATGTTCAAGTGCGCCTTTCCTATCAAAGTGCTATGTGCGTGCATTTTTTTCATCCATGTTGTACGCATTCCGGCTTTCTACTACATTGTCGTTTTCTGTGCCATTTTTGATTGTTTAAGGTGTTGAATTTTTTGTAAATTTGGTCTTGTTTGACAACTATTTTTTTCTTATATTTAAGTCTATTATGATATTTGAACATTTATTATGAATTATTTCCCTTTTTCCTCCACCACTGGTTGTTTATCCGGAAGATTCCTATTATCTCTCATAATCTGCCCTAATATCACCGCAATCTATCTTTTATCCACTAGATCCTTTGTTTCTGCGACACCAATGTATTTTCTCTTATAACCTCATTTTACTCGACATGCATTTTATTCTACTGTATGACTTTCGGTGTAAATCACTTCAAGTCTCTGGATTCGAGTAGCATATGTTATGCCTCCCCTTCGGTTGTGGGTTGAGTATCTATTACCACTAAAACTCCGGCTAGATAAACAACAGCTTAACCTCAGGGAATTCGTATACTTCATATTCGTTTTTTTTTTTTCGCTTTAGCTTACCGTGATAATTCAAAAATGACGTTGATCTGGTTGGTAAATAATTTACAGATTATGCATTGTTGCTTTTGTTCGGCCGGAGGACCAATGGCTTCAACCTTTACTTAAAACGCATCCACTAAGGTTGGTATAGTGTGGATTTTGTGATGACGAGTTGTCATTGTTGTTGCATCAGGTGGCATCGGTTCCTCGATTAATGCATTTCTCCAAACTCCTTCTTCATGTTGTGTTTTTAGTTAAAGCACGACCTAATTACTAAGCTTATAAATTGTGCTTCCTCGTCTCAAACTCTTTTGGGTAAAGGCTGTCGCAATAGCCTTAACTGAAAATGATGAACAGTGAATCTTTTGACATATTTATTTTACGGATCGTTGTGTAGTGACTCACAGCAGGCAAGCATCCGTTGCGCATCTTTGGCAGCCTCTTCTTCGGGCGCAAATCATTCGCTTCTTCATCATCATCGCCACCATCATCACCATCACCACCAAAAGCATAGCTCCAAGAGTTCCACACTTTCCTCTATGGCGTCTCAGCTCATGCCTTCCAAATCTTTGAACGAGTTCAACACCAACGATAACACATCCACCTCGTCCGTAGCTAAGGGCGCTATGTTGGAGGAAGAAAAGTCGTTTGGCGAGTTATCGAATGGTCCCGAAGTGAGTTTATAATGCTGGAGTCAGGGCAATAGTGCCCAATAATGCTTGATTGTATTTGCAAACTTTCCAGACGTCAGAACAGGGTTCAACTAGCACAACTGACCCACCGACCTTCATCAAGCTAGCGCCATACTTTGAGTCCATTCCAAACCGAAAATACGCCTCTCTATCGCGACTTCGGCAGACGCGATGTGGTAGGTTTCCCACCTATTTACAGGTTGGTAGTTTTTTTTTTACTTTTGGCCATTCATTAAACAAATAGTGAAGACGATTTGTTCGTCTCGTGTCTGAACCATAGCAATAAAGTCTCCTCAAACTTTGTCAGTAATTTATGCCCAAAATCAAATCATCCAATTTGAGCACTCCCTTAGACTTGTATGACACGAAGTCACCACTTTTAGCTTAAACTTTTTGCCCTTCTTTGCTAAGTGTTTTTGTTAGCTGGTCCCCGGTACGCAGCCGATTAACAGTTTTGATATTTTCCCAATGGCAAACGAGTTACTATCGAAGGCGCAATGTAAGATGTCAGTCTAAAAGCTGCTTTATGCTGTTCAATCTGTGGGACTGGTCGACAAACAGTGAAGGTGTCATTTTGAAATATCACTGTTCCCGGTCCTAGTGAAGTCGGCACAGCCGTAGAACCGAGACAAAGGTGATAGCATAACTTTCACTCATGTGGAAAGCATATTTCAATAGGAAAGCAAAAATTTGCAATGAAACGTCATTGATTAGGTAGTTCTTATGACCTTTATTTTATGTATTCGGTTCTATTTAATAGGATTCTATTGTTTAATGTAGACATTTTTAGAAGTCATAGGCGAATATTTTAAGAGGCTC